CCCAACTGCCCCCCTGCTGGCCTGGTTGTCTCAACTGCCCCTCCCCCCCGCCAGCCCGGTCACCCCTCACAGCCTTTCCACTGGCCTGGTTGGCCCACGCAGCCTGCTGTTCAGTTGTTTGGTCATCCCTCACTAACGCCCATGCCGGCCTGGTCGCCCCACGCAGCCTGCTGTTCAGTTGTTTGGTCGTCCCTCACTAACCCCCATGCCGGCCTTGTTGGCCCACGCAGCCTGTTTGTTCAGTTGTTTGGTCATCCCTAACTAACCTGCCTGCCAGCCTGGTCGTAGGCAGCCATCTTGTGAGGGTATGAGGGTTAATTTGCGTATTACCTCTTTATTATATAGGATATAGATGTTGGTTTGCATAGTGTTTTTCTCCTCTCTGTGGAGACCCTGTGCTCTGGCCTACTTAAGCATCAGTGTTTGTCAGTGGTTCTCACTCAGAGCTTTTCTTAATGTCTTCTAGAATTTTTTAAAAAAATGCTTTGGACCACTAAGTCTTGTCTATAAAGAGCCTAATCATGTTTTTCTGTTTTTTAAATATAAATGAGTGTGAGATACAGCCAGGGAAGAGAGCAAATTAGAAATATATTTCTATGGTCAGTTAAGCTCATATTCCTGTGAACTCTGTGAGGGAATATAAAACCATTGAAAATGAAGAAGGGAGAGACTAGTATATGCTACCGAGTATATATTCTGGTTTCCCAAATACATTTATCTGAATTCAGACATTCTCTTGATTCATTTATTAATTTGGTAAAGAACTGGAGATTATGAGTTGGAACTTGTTTTTCTTGCATTATAGCTTGTGATCAGCAGATTGTTTTTTGGCCATTCAGAAACCCCTTTAAAAAGAGAAAGTGAGCCCTAACCAGTTTGGCTCAATGGATAGAGCGTCGGCCTGCGGACTGAAGGGTCCCAGTTTCGATTCTGGTCAAGGGCATGCACCTTGGTTGCGGGCACATCCTCAGTGCGGAGTGTGCAGGAGGCAGCTGATCGATGTTTCTCTCTCATCGATGTTTCTAACTCTCTATCCCTCTCCCCTCCTCTCTGTGAAAGATCAGTGAAATATATAAAAAAAAAAGAGAGAGAGAGAAAGTGAACTGAAGCTCCACAATATGATTAATAACTGAATTTTGCACTACCCAGCTAATTCTTTTTGCTAGTGTTATGTAAATGTGACACTTTATATTGTTTCTCTAGTTATAGTTGTTGATTCTTCAGTAAATAAAACACATTTATTCTTATGAAGATAGTCTTATCTAATCCTATGTCTTGGTTTTTTATATAGCTCATTCCAGAATTTTCTTTGTCCAAAGGGGAAAAATTCCCAGTATGTATGAAAAGAGACCATAGATTACATCCCACATTTTAATTGGCAGTCATTGTGACCTTCTGAAAATGATGGTTACTAGTCTATGTAAATTTTAATCTTGCTTTAGTTTTTGGCAATATTATTCTTATTGACTAAATGTGTATTATTTTTATAAACCTTGGTAGTTAAGCTTTCACCCTGCCTATGCATAACCGTGAAACCATTTTTAAAAAAAGCAAACTTAACCTACTAAATTGTTTGTGTTTTTAACTCAGATGATATCTACACTAGCCAAGTAAAACACTATAAAAATACTTTATTTGGAATTCTACAAGTTACTTTAAAAAAAGATGTTATTATATTTCATGAAGCAGATTCCGTAGCTTTCAGTAACTTAGCAAAAGTGCTTACAAAATTAAGAAATGGCCTTATGATCCTATTTAATTTTCGTGACATTTTAAATGATCCATTTGAATCTATGTTTAAAATTATTTGATTATTAATTTTATTTTAGGTAAAATGAAGAATATATATTATATCAGAGGAACACTGATAGCAGCTATGACCAAATGAATCTACCGTTGTTTTTTGGTAATAGTTTTTCAAGTTGTACCATTATGGGTATCTATTCATGTTTGCTCATCTGAACGTGTTTTTAAGACAACGTGTCTCTGTTGCTGATAGTTGTTCCCATTCCTCAGTTTTACTCATAAGATAGTTCTCTATCAGGTAACTTACATTAGGAATCACTTTACATTAAGCACTGGCATTTGTTGTTCAGTTTTTCTCCTTTCTGAAGTAATTTTTGAAATAGTAAAATTAAAATTAACTTACATATTGCCTTGAGCAATATCAAAATGTCTGTTATCTATAATTAAATAGTTTGTAATTTAAAACAGTTCCCATTCATTTACAAAATACACAGACTGCTTTATGTATGCATAAAAATTATTTGAGCAAATATGCATTGAAGTGTTTCACAGTGTTTATCTTGGAGGTGGGAAGGAGTTCTAGAGATGCATTCAATCTCTTTTTTTAAAATATGTTTTTATTGATTTCAGAGAGAGGAAGGTAGAGTAAGAGAGAGTTAAAAACATCAGTGATGAGAGAGAATCATTGATCATCTGCCTCCTGCCCCCTCCTAGGGATCGAACTTGCAACATGGGCATGTGCCCTGGCCATGAATCAAATTGTGACCTCCTTGTTCATGGGTCAATGCTCAACCACTGAACCACATCCTCTGGACTCAGTTTCTTAAATTATTTAATTTTTTGTGACAAAAATTGAATAGCAGGAAAGATATCTAAGACATTCCCATTTTGGAGAAAAATAATTGTGAATTATGAATGCATTTAAAAAATATGTGAATGTCATTACATATTTTAAAAAACCAACAGAAACCTTTAAGTGCTTTATTAGTAAGACAAAATTTTATACATGAATAAATAATAAATGTTTGAGGGGAATCATTAAAATTCATTATTTCAATGGATGTCTTAAAAATGTAGTTGTTTTTTATTCCTTTATTGTTAATATAACATTCTTACTAAATAGTGTTTTAAGTTATATAACAGAACATGAATCCCTCCCTACATTTTTTCAACTAAATTGGGCATGTGTCCCTGGAAAAAAAAATTATATTTACCAAACTCGACTGCTGAATAGTATGCACTCTTACATAATAAAAAAGGAAAATGTGAAGTGTCCCGGTCTATGCCGCATATTGGTTTATTTTCTCCATGAATATTTATTATACTAGAAGCCCGGTGCATGAAATTCGTGCATGGGTAGGATCCCTAGTGAGGCAGGGGTTGGGGGGGCCCTCAGCCTGGCCTGCACCCTCTCCAGTCCAGGACCCCTTGGTGGATGTCTGGCAGTCAGACATTCCTCTCGCAATCCAGGACCACTGCCTTCTAACTGCTCACCTGCCTGCCTGATTGTCTCTAATCACCAGAGATCAGGATTTTAAAAAGATTCCCAGGTGATTCTAATGTGCAGCCAAGCTTGAGAACCACTGCCCTAACTGCTCCCCTGCTGGCCTGATTGCCCCCAGTAGCCTCTGCCTCTGCCCCCTTTACCATGGCTTTGTCTGGTAGGACGCCTGGAAGATGTCCTGTCTAATTAGCATATTACCCTTTTATTAGTATGGATAGATTGGTCTCTGTTTTGCGGAAATGGAAAATAGAGAAGAAATCAGTTAGTAGACTAGCTGGCAGTGTGTACACATGGTGGTATTTCAGTGTTCTGCCTGGAGCCGTCTTCCTCACTAAAATCTTTCAGTGCCTATCTGTTTGGTTACTACCTAAATTGTAATTTACATGGAATCGGGGCCTGAGATGGCAGGCATGTGTTGACCTTTTTGGAGTGCCAGTTTATTGTGAAAGCAGCATGTAATGTAGTGACAGTATCATTAGTGAATCACTAAGGCAGCGTGAATTATTGTTAGAGGAATAATAATGAAATAAAAAAAATGAAATAGTTAACCAGTAATGCCTGAGAGCATTTATTAGATTTACGAGACTCCAGGCTGTGCTTATAATAAATTATCTACTTTAGTTCATTCTGTTGCACCATGTATGATTGAACACTAGTGAAAGTATATGAATATTATTTTCAAGGAGATGTATAAATATGTTTTTAGAGAATGATATATACATCTATCCTTTAGAATTTTATAACAGTAACTTAGATTTCTAATAATAGCAATAACTTTCCTTCTAATATACATTAATGTAATTTAAGATTCTCTTAGTCTAAGTAATCTAGAACAGCGATCACCAACCAGTGGTCTGCGGACTACTGGTCGTCCGTGAGCTCCAAAAGGTTGGCGACCACTGGTTTAAGGAAACCTTTGGAGCAGTGGTTGCCAACCAGTGGTCTGTGGTCTGTGGACCACTGGTGGTCCGTGAGGTCCGAAAGATTGGTGACCGCTGATCTAGAATACCTATACATTATTATTATGGGCATTATAACCTAATTCCATTCATGTTTGAATAAACTTAAATATAATCTAAAAGAAGTCAAATAAAGTATTAGACTAAAAAATTTAGACAAAAATCAAGAGAAACTGGTATATTTGCAAAAAATGTTGGATATCTATATAAAAGCCCAGTGAATGGAATGACAGAATGACCAGAACGACTGGAATGACCGGTGTCTATGACCCGCACTGCAGTAGCCAGTAGGCCTGATCTGGGTCCCAATTGGCCTCCAATACCCCATCGGGGTGGGGCTGGCTGGCCAACCCTCTGCAGCCCCTCCCCCCATCTTGCCCTGCCCCCAGTTGTCCCCCAACACCCTGATTGGGACAGGGTCGGCTGGCCACCTTCCCACGGTCCCTCCCCTGGATGAACCTGCCCCCTGATTGGCCCCCAACACCCCAATTGGGGGTGGGGCTGGCCGACTAACCTCCCATCCCCTCTTCTCCCCCCGCTATCCAGCCCAATGGGCCCCCATCGGGGCAGCCTGGCCAGACCCCACCCGTGCATGAATTCGTGCACCAGCCCTCTAGTATTCAATAATAGGAATAAGGGAACAAGGAAATGTTATTTCTAGATTTATTTTTTAGTTCTTGAAAAGGTCTGATATTACTAAATGGAGAAAGTAGAATTGTATTTTTATGTAATAGACATGATTAATTCTTATCATTGTTCTTCTGAACTTTGTATGCTTTTTTTCTTTTCAGGTTTGGCAATTTGTGGACATAATTGCCTCCTGACAGCAGAATGGATGTCTGCAAGTAAAATAGTATGTCGAGTTGGACAAGCCAAAAATGACAAAGGAGACATAATTGTCACAACCAAGTCAGGTGGCAAAGGAACCTCAACTGTCTCTTTCAAGCTACTCAAGCCTGAAAAAATAGGTATCTACCTTTTGTCATGTTATTCTGAAGATGAAAATAAAAATGGGTTTTCTTTTAAAATTTAGAACTATTAAATTAGTCTAAAATTTACCCACTATTATATCTCAGCTTATGTTTATTTTTACAGGAATAATGTATTGATTAAAATATGTATTACTTTTGAAAATGCACCTAAGGATAATTATCCTGACATAACTGTCATTCAGAATACTTTATAAAATCTGTTCACTTAACATTTTGATACGACAATTTCAGTTCCTTGTTCTTGAGTACATTTCTTCTTAAATTTCTTTCTTTTCTTTCTGTTATACTAGGGGCTCGGTGCACGAAATTTGTGCACTGGGCGTGGGGGGCGGGGAGTGTCCCTCAGCCCGGCCTGCCCCCTCTCACATACTGGGAGCCCTCAGGCATTGACCCCCATCACCCTCCAATCGCAGGATCAGCCCCTTACCCAGGCCTGACACCTCTGTCAGGTGTCAGGCCTGGGTAGGGGACCCTCATTTCCCCCCATCACTGGTTCTGCCCCCAGCCCAGGCCTGATGCCTCTGGCCCAGGCATCAGGCCTGGGCAGGGGGACCCCAGACCCCTCC